ATTTTTTTGATCCAAATTTTTTTGACCCAAATTTTTGACTAAAATTTTTTTGACCAAAATTTTTATGACCCAAATTTTTTTAACCCAAATTTTTTTGGCCCAATTTTTTTGACCAAATTTTTTTTGACCCAAATTTTTTTGACCTAAATTTTTTTGACCAAAATTTTTTTCCAAAATTTTTTTGACCCAAATTTTTTGACCCAAATTTTTTTGACCCAAATTTTTTTGACCAAAATTTTTTGACCAAAACTTTTTGACCAAAATCTTTTTGTCCCAAATTTTTTTAACCAAAATTTTTTTGACCAAAATTTTTTGACCCAAATTTTATTGACCTAAATTTTTTTGACCAAAATTTTTTTGACCAAAATTTTTTTGACCCAAATTTTTTTGACCCAAATTTTTTTTGATCCAAATTTTTTTTACCCAAATTTTTTTGACCCAAGTTTTTTTGACCAAATTTTTTTTGACCAAAATTTTTTTCTCAATATTTTTTTTACCAAAGTTTTTTGACCCAAATTTTTTTGACCAAAATTTTTTGACCAAAACTTTTTGACCAAAATTTTTTTCTCAATATTTTTTTTACCAAAGTTTTTTGACCCAAATTTTTTTGACTCAAGTTTTTTTGACCCAAATTTTTTGGACCCAAATTTTTTCGACCAAATTTTTTTTGACCAAAATTTTTTTGACTAAAATTTTTTGGGTCAAAAATTTTTTTTGGGCCAAAATTTTTTGGGCCAAAATTTTTTGAGCCAAAATTTTTTGGGTCAAAATTTTTTGGGACAAAATTTTTGTTCCCAAAATTTTTTGGGCCAATTTTTTTGGGTCAAAATTTTTGTTCCCAAAATTTTTTGGGCCAATTTTTTTGGGTCAAAATTTTTTTGACCAAAAAGTTTTTTTTCCCATAATTTTTTGGGTCAAAATTTTTGTTCCCAAAATTTTTTGGGCCAATTTTTTTGGGTCACAATTTTTGTTCCCAAAATTTTTTGGGCCAATTTTTATGGATCAAAAATTTTTTTGGGCCAAAATTTTTTTTCCAAAATTTTTTGGGTCAAAATTTTTTTTTGGGCCAAAATTTTTTGGGCTCAAAATTTTTTGATTAAAAAATTTTTTGTTGGGCCAAAATTTTTTGGGTCAAAATTTTTTTGACCACAAATTTTTTTTTCCCAAAATTTTTTGGGCCAAAATTTTTTTGACTAAAATTTTTTGGGTCAAAAATTTTTTTTGGGCCAAAATTTTTTGGGCCAAAATTTTTTGGGTCAAAATTTTTGTTCCCAAAATTTTTGAGCCAATTTTTTTGAGTCAAAATTTTTGTTCCCAAAATTTTTTGGGCCAATTTTTTTGGGTCAAAATTTTTTTGACCAAAAAGTTTTTTTTCCCAAAATTTTTTGGGTCAAAATTTTTGTTCCCAAAATTTTTTGGGCCAATTTTTTTGGGTCAAAATTTTTGTTTCCAAAATTTTTTGGGCCAATTTTTTTGGGTCAAAAATTTTTTTGGGCCAAAATTTTTGTTCCCAAAATTTTTTGGGTCAAAATTTTTTTGTCCAAAAATTTTTTTTCCCAAAATTTTTTGGGTCAAAATTTTTTTTGACCAAAAATTTTTTTTTGGGTCAAAATTTTTGTTTCCAAAATTTTGTGGGCCAATTTTTTTGGGTCAAAATTTTTTGGGCCAATTTTTTTGGGTCAAAATTTTTTGGGTCAAATTTTTTTTTGACCAAAAATTTTTTTTGGGCCAAAATTTTTTTTCCCAAAATTTTTTGGGTCAAATTTTTTTTGACCAAAAATTTTTTTTTGGGCCAAAATTTTTTGCGTCAAAATTTTTATTTCCAAAATTTTTTGGGCCAATTTTTTTGGGTCAAAATTTCTTGGGCCAATTTTTTTGGGTCAAAATTTTTTGGGTCAAAATTTTTTTTGACCAAAAATTTTTTTTTGGGCCAAAATGTTTTTTCCCAAAATTTTCTGACCAAAAATTTTTTTCCCAAAATTTTTTGGGCCAAAATTATTTTGACCAAATTTTTTTGGGCCAAAATTTTTTGGGTCCAAATTTTTTTGAGCCCAAATTTTTTTGGGTCAAAATTTCTTGGGTCAAAATTTTTTTGACCAAAAAGTTTTTTTTTCCAAAATTTTTTGGGTCAAAATTTTTGTTCCCAAAATTTTTTGGGCCAATTTTTTTGGGTCACAATTTTTGTTCTCAAAATTTTTTGGGCCAATTTTTATGGGTCAAAAATTTTTTTGGGCCAAAATTTTTTTCCAAAATTTTTTTGGGTCAAAATTTTTTTTTGGGCCAAAATTTTTTGGGCCAAAATTTTTTGGGTCAAAATTTTTTTGATCAAAAATTTTTTGTTGGGCCAAAATTTTTTGGGTCAAAATTTTTTTGACCACAAATTTTTTTTTCTCAAAATTTTTTGGGCCAAAATTTTTTTGACTAAAATTTTTTGGGTCAAAAATTTTTTTTGGGCCAAAATTTTTTGGGCCAAAATTTTTTGGGTCAAAATTTTTTGGGTCAAAATTTTTGTTCCCAAAATTTTTGGGCCAATTTTTTTGGGTCAAAATTTTTGTTCCCAAAATTTTTTGGGCCAATTTTTTTGGGTCAAAATTTTTTTGACCAAAAAGTTTTTTTTCCCAAAATTTTTTGGGTCAAAATTTTTGTTCCCAAAATTTTTTGGTCCAATTTTTTTGGGTCAAAATTTTTGTTTCCAAAATTTTTTGGGCCAATTTTTTTGGGTCAAAATTTTTTTTGGGCCAAAATTTTTGTTCCCAAAATTTTTTGGGTCAAAATTTTTTTGACCAAAAATTTTTTTTCTCAAAATTTTTTGGGTCAAATTTTTTTTTGATTAAAAATTTTTTTTTGGGTCAAAATTTTTGTTTCCAAAATTTTGTGGGCCAATTTTTTTGGGTCAAAATTTTTTGGGCCAATTTTTTTGGGTCAAAATTTTTTGGGTCAAATTTTTTTTGACCAAAAATTTTTTTTTGGGCCAAAATTTTTTTTCCCAAAATTTTTTGGGTCAAATCTTGGTTTTCTCGGATTAAAATCACATTTTTTTTTTTTTTTGAACTTATGAAGAAATTGAGTTGTTAATTTAATCTTTTAATGAATTCTTATTTTGCGAAATTGGTTGTCAGGTTCCTTTTTTCTGCTTACAGCATTATACAAGTCATTAATGGATGAGGCACCGTGGAAACAATTTCTTGCTTTAAAAGGTGTATTAATGCATTTGGCTGATTTATTAACAAAAGAAATACAAGATATACACCATCTTGAGGAAACAACTTTAACTGCAGATATTGCACAAGGCAAGTTATTAATAACTATAATCAAATATTTTTATTTTTGAACAATCATTGGTATTAGTTAACCATGATTGTGGTTGTTAGTCATATATAGGTGAAAATTTTGTTGTATTCAAAACTTGCTACTTTCAGGAAGACTTCCTTTCTTTTTTATGGTGTTTATAATTTAGCTACCATTACCATTTGCTATATATTTATTAACAACCAGTTGCAATTTCTAGACAATGTTTTAGTATATCTTGCAAATGATTTAGTGAATTTCAAGTAATGCTTTTTTTTATATATATTAGGTTACGCTTTGAAACAAATCACCGAGTTATTATCATCTTTTCTTGAGGATACTTCTATACGACAAGCTTATAAGGTAGGCTTGTCGGAGCAGTTTTAGGTGGATATCTTTCATTAAAAAGTTTAGTAGTACAAAGAACCAGGTTGATTGATGATACCCAAGAACAATTATTAGAGATGTTAGAAGAAATGACCACTGGAACCGAAGCTGAAACAAAATCCTTTCCGGAGTGAAGTGGCTGAAAACAATTCATTGTACATATACAGTCATTTAAGATTCCTTGTTTTTTATGACTGTTAGACAAGCATGAAATGAGTTAACTGTGTGTTATCAAATTAATAAAACATAAAGATAGCATAGATTCAATTTGATACTTCTTGTTAATTGTAAATTTTGTGATTGTATAAAACCAAATTCTGCAAATGTCTGTTAACAATAATGACTCAACCCTGCTCTAAATAAAACTTTAAATATATCTTAAGTACAGTATATATTTACTATACGCTATTCCAGGCTCATAATAGACTGATACTGTTAATTTTCTCTAGAATTAGATCATTCTAACAAACCTATACTAGAATATAACATTTAGAATACATCTTAGATTCGTTTGACATTATTATGGGAAACACCTATATCTGATTCTTTGTCTTGTTTGTTAGCTTCACAAACTACTTAATATTTGTCTCAGATTTCAAATTAATCACTTCTTATTAGTATTAGATCCAAAGCAAAATTTTTGCAGCTTAACAATACCAATTGTGCTGATATGACATTTGATATACATATGTAATTACAATATTTTTTAGGGTCGCATGTTGGGTAATCCATATTCCAGTAATGAACCTGGTCTTGGACCATTAATGAGAGATGTTAAAAATAAATTTGTCAAGATTGTGAATTAGTAGCATTATTAGAAGATGACAATGGTATGGAATTACTGGTCAACACAAAATCATGAGTTTGGATCTTCCAGTGAAAGAAGTTTATAAAAAGGTAATAAATATTAATATAGTTATTATGTTTATACAATAACCCTTCAGTTAAAAATATAGTTCCTATTTAATTGTTTTTTAAATAACAGTAATGAATGGCGTTTTAATTGTACATTTATCATAATATTACTTTACTATTAGATATTTTATGATATATCATTAATAATGATAATTACAATATTATATAATAATGTTATAAAATTCAACCCTCAAAGAATAAGGATGGCAATTGTTTTTATGTACTAAAAATATGTGAATATATTTTTCATCACAATCAATTATTATATTACTTTGTTGACTGTAGGTGTGGTTGGCTGAACAATGCGAAGGAGAATCAATGAGAGTTGTTTATAGAATGAGGGTCTTCTTGGAGACGCTACTGAAGAATTTGTTGAAACACTCAGAGCAAAACTCAAACTCAGTTGATAATGAAGAACTGTATAAAATGGCCAATGTACTTGCAGATTGTGGAGGATTACAGGTATTTTTGTTAAGATTATTAATGACTTTAATTAATGTGTGATAGGTTAATAAATTTATGAAAAATTATATACTGGCTCACAAGTTCACTCAAGATTTGAGTAAAAACCCAAGCCTTTCTTTATAGGATTGATTTATATTACAATATGTTTCAATATTAACCTAAGATGTTGATGCTTAGAGGTTTCTGATAATTATACAAATTAATAAAAAATATAATGTTAATTCTATATATCTGATGCTGTATATGAGCGAATTCTACCCATGATATGGAATAGGTTGAATATTTTGAATAAGAAATCTGTTTTTTTTTTTTGTAGATCATGCTTGATAGGCTAAATGCTATTCAAAATGTTTCAAGGTCTAGACCACTTTTGCAAGTGCTACTTAAATTATTCAGATTATGTGTAAAAGTTAAAAAATGCCAAGAAGTATTATGCAGGCCGGATCTAAGTTCTGTATCCGTATTTTTGAAGGTGAGTAAGCCTAAATAAATAAATAAATAAATATACATAAATATATATGTATATGCATTTTTTTGTATACATCATAAAAAATAACTATTTAATGAAATAACCCAATTCATATAGGTCCTACAACTATGTCTGCAAAGTGAATCAGATTCACAGTTAGCATCTGTAACGGAACAATTACTTGATGTGAGTTGGCATTTTAATTAATTCATATACCAGGTTGCTAAAAAATTATTTTTTAACTCTTTTTATTTTTACTGTTACTCAATATGGATTTGTTTATGAACTCCCATTTTATCTAATAATACTCAACTAATCTTTTTAGCACACATTCACTTTATATCTACTGTTATATTTAATATAATCTACATATTTTATATCTGACAGATTATGGAAACAATACTTTCTAAGCCGCAAATGAATCACTAGCATCATTTTTGCAATTTTCATCAACATTTGGAGGCCCCGAATATGTGCAGGCATTATTATCGTGCACTAATAATTCATCTGTAAGAAACAATCCATCAGTTCTGAATCATCTTACAAGTTAGTGTAGCAGCATTAGTTTATGGAAATGATATTAAAATGGCTTTATTGTGTGAACACTTTAAGAAATGTTTAGATTTCAATCAATTTTGATTTTGAGCGAACGGCTGAAGATGAATTTAGATTAGAATTATTCTGTGTACTTTGTACTGGCATAGAGAAGAACTGCATAGGCGGTACTTTGAAAGATTACATAATATCTTTAGGAATGGTCAAAAATGCATTAGAGTATATTACAGTAAGTATAAATTATAATTTAATTTGTATTATCTATTTAAATGCTAAATGTTTTAATTGTTGACAGATGCACGCTCCTTGTGTTAAACCTACATTGTTAAGAACAGATTCAGATGAATTGAAAGAATTTATTTCTAAGCCTGCTTTGAAATATATTTTAAGATTTTTAACAGGATTAGCTACTGAACATGAAGCTGCACAGGTATTTTAATAAAGTAATATTCAATTTATTTTTGTTTTAATAAACACTATGTTTGAAATTGATAAGATTTATTAGTTATTAAAACACTCTTTAAATGTGACATTGAAAAAATTGAAATTTATGTCCATCCAGTCATTGTTTGCATTCAACTCCGATACATTTAAACATTTTTTTCGACAGATTGGTATGTTAAATATACATGTCTTATTTATTATAACAAGTTTGTATAATTCACATACACATGTCTATACTATTCTTATTTTCCCTTTGAATATATTTTAGATACTGATATCTCAGATATAATTCCCATAATACACAGACTTGAACAAGTGTCTTCAGATGAGCATGTTGGATCGTTAGCAGAAATCTTCTTGAAGCCTTGAGAACAGATCCTGCGACTGCAGCGAGAGTACAACAAGTAAGAATTTTATTGTTATATACACAATTGATTTCATCTACTCGAAATTTATTAGCATATTAAAATATCATAAGTTACCATTTTGTAATATTAACTTATGTTCGTATTGTTTTTATATTTATAATGATTCAAGTATTTTATAAAGTATATCAAATACTGTTATTGAGTTTTTTTCATTCAGACAACATTTGCTTGATTTATAATCTAAAAACGTTTGATTAAAGGTTCGTGATTTTACAAGAGCAGAGAAGAAAAGATTAGCAATGGCTATGAGAGAGAAACAACTTGGAGCTATGGGCATGAGAACAAATGATAAAGGCCAGGTAGACATAGACAATATCAACAAAATATTAGTGTTATTGATTCTAAGTTTATATGTATATATTTTTTGTTATTTAATTAAAATGAATTAGGTTACGGCTAAATCTACAATACTGCAGCAAATGGAAGATCTAGGCGAGGAAACTGGTTTAGTTTGTGTAATTTGTAGAGAAGGGTACAAATGCCAGCCAACAAAAGTTTTAGGTGTATATACCTTCAGCAAAAGATGTAATGTTGAAGAATATGATTCTAAGGCAAGATGGACGATGGGATATACTACTGTCACACATTTCAATGTTGTGGCATTTTGAATGTCATATGAGTGCAGTTAGGTAAATAATCCAATCTTCGCTTTCAAATCGTTCATATTTATTTTTTTTATTATTCTGTATGTACATATATTACATAATCAATAACGAAGCAAGTATTGATTGATTAGTGATGTAAAATCATCTATTTTGAATACGTAAAACGTTCCGCAGCATTTTAATATATTTGTTATTAATTATTTGTATATATGCGTATATCAATGATTGAATTACATTTGCTTTGTTCTGTTTAATATACACTTTATATTTTTAGATTGGCTAGAGCAAGAGATGAGTGGGAAAGTGCTGGCTTACAAAATGCTAACACGAGATGTAATGGTTTGTTGCCATTGTGGGGAATGCAAGTTCCCGAACTAGCATTTGCCAGCAGTCTTGCCAGACATGACACATATTTGCAGGTATGGTCTGCTATTGATAGTGTATTTTTTTTAACTTCCCGAAGGAGAAGT